CCCCAAAACCCCAAAACCCCAAAACCCCAAAACCCCAAAACCCCATTCTCCTAATTTCCAAGTTAATCGGTAGTTATTAAATTAATCAATTATTAAATATCGATTTAATCTTTTTAATCTTCTACTCCAAAACAGAATTACTTTATTTAAGCTAGTGCTCTAATTCCTCCTACTCCCTTAATTTCTAATAAAGATTAGGGAATAATAAAATTTACACTATGATAAGGCAAGATAACATCTTGGTAAAACTTACTAATCTCTTGCCTCACCAAATCTTAGCTATCCACTATTTCATTCCTAAACTGGCTTATCTAACTTTTTATTTGCTGTATCTAGCCAACAAACTTTTACCTTACCTTATGATTATTATCCTTTTCCTTCTCGACACTCGCCTTTGACTCAAAAGTTGAAGTTGCTGTAGTCATTTCTAACTCTTTTTGCTCTGTGATTTTCTTTTTCATTTTTAAAATCTACTTTTCTTTCTTGATTTTATCTTTGAGGAGCCTGCTTCTTTTCTCCTTTTCATCCTTCAACTGCTTCTCAATCACTTCTATGTCTTAATCTAAGCTTTAGTGCTTATCCTGATCTCGGGATTAAATTGAATTGATAGCAGACCTTCTAGTTTAACTCCTATTTGTAGTTAAATTGGTGAATCTTCTCTGTGTGCTCTTCTAGTCACTAAGCTCTTTCAAATTTTTCATCTCATTTGAGTTAATCTATTTCAAAGGTGGTATGACTGGCTTTTTGTTTAGCTTTTTAGTGCTGCTTTAATCATTTTGATGCTTTAGATTTATTTGATTCATAAGAGAACTTACAGCATTTTCAAGATCATAAATCTTTTACTTATCTTGCATAGAGATTGATGCAGAGTTTTCTTACCCTGCATTTCTCTATAATTAATCCTTCTTAGCAGTTCTTTATTGGCTTCTTTCTAATTTATCTGATAATTTAGCAATCTATTTTTAAAGTTGCTCAACAGTCTGACTGAATTGCTCTCTCTCCTTCTTCTATTCATTCACAAGTTTCTAATAATCTTTCATTATTTTTTTCTCATTTTTCTGTATCTTTAAGAGCTCATTCTTAAGTTTGTTATTTTCTTCACTTTAAACAGGTGCTGAATTTTATATCTGATTTTAACTATTCGAATTAGCAGTGGTGTTGCTTGTATCTTTATCTATTGATGAAAACATTCTTGCTGTAGTCACATTTTTCTTATTGCTACTATTTCTATTTGATTCAATTGACTAATGGTGATGATGCTTATTATTTAACTTAGATTAGCCTTCTGATTGTTATGAATTTTAATGATTATTATTCATTGACTTGACAATTTCTACCTAAATGTTGGAACTTTCTGATGATTCTTAAAGACTTAATGGTTCTGAATTAACAGAATCTTAAAGCAAGCTCTCCTTAATTTTAGAAATCTTATATTGAAATTGATCATTATTTTTAGAATTCGATAAGAGATAATTTTAGGTCTAATTAGGCTAGAAAAGTGAATCATTTTTGCTTATATTAATAATTAAATGCTACTACTACATCCTGTTAAGCTACTAAGCCTCCATCAGCTATTATAATTTTGAAGGAGATAACAAATTCTAGCCATTATTATTTTAATAAAATTGATAATTAGTTCCACTTTTTCTTACAATCGAATTACTAAGTTCTTACCCAATAGTATCCTTTATTGAATCAAGTTAAGACTTGATATCTTTAATTTTTTCCTCAAATTGATTGTCCTTTTTATTGCTAGATAATTGCTAATGCATTTGATTTTCATCTTCTTCATCACTTTGCTGTTTAGAGGTGTTGCTTGATAATCCATGTGCACTTAGTACATTTTTATAATCTGACTTAACATGTTCTATCTCTTAGCCTAATGAAAACTTATGCTTTTAATGCTTGCTCTGGTGCTGTTATGTTTAGTTTTAATTCTGAGAGCTGAATTGTAAATTTTAACTATGATTAAATTCTGAGATCTTTTTAGCATCATTAACAGATAACTAATGCTAGTTTTGAATAAGCGACTACCTTGAGTTGATTGATGTTTTGCGGTGAAAACTATTTTTGTTGTCCAGAGAACCTAACAAATTTTTAGTTTCTTAAAGTCATGTACTTAAGGCAGGGACAATCTAAGTAAAGGAGCTAGGCTAAACAGAAGAATTAGACTGATAAGATTACTGCCCTAAAGAGCTGGTATGCTATCCATGAGTGTTGTTTCCGATTGTGTAGTAAAAATGCTAATCCTAGATTTAGTAGGAGTATTTTGCTTGGTCAGAATTAGTTATGAGTCTATCATTAATTTGTTACTTATTCAGTCTGTTATGCTAGTCTAAGCTATATCTTCTCTGCTCTTCATCATACTCATTATCATCAACGACAGATAACTGAAAATGTAATTGGTGATCTTGATCATTTTTCTGTGCTACCATCATATTATTTGAATTCTAATTTTTGAAAGTTATCTAGTTCATCTCGTTCGCTATTAGTCCAAAAGATGAGGTGAATTATGTGTTATTCATGCCAATACCTGTAACCGAATTACTATTGTTGATTTCACTGCATTTGAAAGGATTTGGATAAATATCATCTCTCTTGCACTGATTTGGAGGACTGCCACTATTAACCATTTACAGAGGCTTGTTATAATTCTTCTCAAGAGCAGATTCCTTTCTCTTATGCTTTTAGTTTACTATTGGTTAATTCCCTTACATTTCAATTTAGTTAAGTTGATTATTATTTAATTAAAGAGACTAGTTAAAATCCTGAAAGTTATTAAGTACACTGTTAGACATGCAAAAGGTCCTAACATCATTTAAATTTTTACCAAGGTAAGTTTACTGTTATTATTTCTACTGCTTTAAGCTCTCATTTTATTGAATCATCTGCTGCTATATATTGTTTTTATTTTAATTTAGTATCTCTTATTTCTAAGCAAAACACTATGAATCACTTTCTTATTGACTAGATTCTTAATCAATTATATACATATTTTTCTTATAGCTTGATGTACCCATGTCCTCTACTTACCCATCCTCCTAAGTATCATATTTTTTCTGACTGCTTAAAGCATGTCTGTAGAGCTGGCTTTCTTTTTTCCTGTTTGAGAACATTCCCTCATCTATTGACTGTGATTAGTTAGAGGATAAGATTTTAGAATAGTCCTCCAATTTCTTCAATCTATTTTCTTTCCATTTATTGTAGTCCATCGGAGGAGATATTGTGCCTTGACTATCATCTGATTCTCTCATAAAATCCTAAGTTCTTTGTTGTTTGTCAATACTCCTGGTGTCAATTGCAAGTTATGCTTTGAATTGCTCATTTTAAGTGAAGATTTCCTCTTCAGAATCATCATCATCACTTAGATCATCGTTGGAGTTTATCTCATTGAATTGCTCCTTGATTTCTTCTTCCGAGTAGTTCTAATCTGATTCATTGTCCTCTTCCATTTCAATATCTTACCAATTTATATAATTTGAATTTGAAATTTATCAACACTTCTTGATTTATTCTATGTGGGGTTTTGGGGTTTTGGGG